CTTCCTCCCAGGACACAGCCCTGCACGGGTCCCCAGGAGAACTGGCCTCCTGCCCCGTGGCCCCACAGCACCCTCTGCTTTGGCCCCAGCCTCTGCCCAGCCAGAGCCTCTCCTTCGAGAGCTGCAAGGGCTTTCCAGACGCAGTGCTCCTCCAGCCACTGCCACCACACCCTGTGTGCTCGGGCTGCCCATCGGCCTCACTCTCTGCGCACAGAGCCCACCCGAGGGCCGTGGACATGGCCACAGAGTGCTGACCAGCGCCATTGCAAGGGTGGAGAAACTCGAGTTTATTAACATGCGCTCTGTGCCGGGCACCACAGGCGGTGCCTCCATGGAGGACGTCGTCACCGCAGTTTCCTGGCAGTAGGGTTATTATGTCCATGCTGAGGAGGAAATTGAAGTTCAGAGGCTCTGAGTAAGTTGCGGATCACACAGTTAGTAACACACAGGTGTGGCCTCAGCATGTTTGATTCTAAAACGTCACACTTCCTCTGATTCAAGATCACCAGACTGGCTTTTGCTGAGTGCAAATCACTATGAAACCTCACCCTTTACCTGACCCAGGGTTCATCTGGGGCTCTCCAGCCCTCAACTGGGGCCACTTGTCCGTCCACGTCCAGCAGGGTGGAGGGCGGGCAACCTGCTCTGGACTGTCCTTGTGGGAACAGCAGGCTGGGGTCTTCCGTCTCGTGGATGGCTCCCCCCCTCCCCCGCCGTGGGGACAGCAGGCCGGCTCTGCTTGGGCTCCTCCCAGAAGAGGCACAGGGCAGCAAGCATCCCCGAGGCCTGTGCTGGGGACCAGCCCACCCTCACTTCTGGGCTCTCCTGTTGGCCCAAATGAGTCACGGACTGAGCCCGAAATCAGGTGGAGCAACACATCACAGCAAAGGCCCTGATCTGGTAACCAGAAGTTTGCAGATGCTAATTCAACCTCCACGCCTGTCCCCTCAGGTGATAGATACGGTGACAAATGAGCATTCATCCCACAGAGCAGTGCAGAGCAGGCGAAGACTGTCAGTTTGCAAACAGATTTTCAGGCTTGACTTGGGGTTTGGCAACCTTTAGTTGCATGTGCTCGGCCCAGTTATAAACTTCTCCATACTTCAGAGACCACACCTACAAAATGAGAGTCACACTTACGTCTAGTGTTGTTTATGGGATTAAATGAGTCAGTGCATATAAATCACTAGGCTTACAGATGTGTGTATAGATAACATGATTGCCTACCTAGAAAATCCCAAGGAATCAACAAAAACTCCTAGCTGTAAGAAATGAACATAGCACGGCTGCAAGACACAAGCCTAATACCCGAAAGCCAGTTGCTCCCTGCAGACCAGAAGTGGCAGTTAGGCCCTGAGCGGGGACAGGAACAGCACTTGGCACGTGAGTTCTCCAGTCGGAGAGCACGGCGCCTCCCTCCTGTCGCCCCCAGTTGTCTTCATCTACCTCAGTCCCTGATCTTGATGCTGAGGCTGAAGAGCTCTCCAGCCGCTGGCCTCTCTTTCCAGAGAGACCCTGAGGAGCGAGCGGATCATCCGGGGTCCCGGGCAGCCCCATCACCATGGTCACCGAGACGCAGCGCCGACGACTCCAGGCTGCGAGCAGAGCTGCACCTCTAACAGACGAGGCCTTCAGAAGAGGAGATGTGGGGAAATGGTTGGAAATTTTGAGAGAGAGGAGTGAAATCCACAGGAAAACAACACGTCCTTTACCCAAGAGGAAGCGTCTCGCTCTCCAGTCTGACCTGGAGGCAGCTTTTTCCCCAGGAGAGACCCCGGCTGTCTGGAGCCTTGCATCCCACTCCCGTAGTGCCCAGAACAGCTGTGCAGACCCAAGCAGGTCTCTGCCACTCTGGGTCATGGTTTTCTCCCTCGAAAAGTTACATCCAGCCCCCTTCTTGCCTGTGAGCTGCAGTGAAAAAGCATCAAGTGAAACTGAGTGCTTTACTCTGTAGCCACAAGAAGACCTCTGAGGACCCTGCTCTTCACAGAGACTCTGAAATTGGGTGTGCGGGACCTTTCTTCAAGGCTCCTACAGAAGAGGAACATGTGGTCCTCACACCCCTCATGGCTCTTCGTCCTGCTGTACTTGAAAAGGACTCCATTGTGTGCTCTAACCATCCCGCAAGTTTTCAGCTCTGGAGAAGCAAAATGCAGGATCTTCAAAAACCCAGGGTCCAGCAGAGTCATGTGGACCAAGCCTTCAGAGCCAAAGAGAACAGGGTTCAAGTCATTGACTTAAGGTTGCTGATGCTCAGGTGCCCTATAGAGAAAAAGGGGAAAGAAAATATCAACCTCACGGGGCCACTGTGCTACATAAATGTCCATGGACTGCACACAAATGTTCAAAAGCAGGTGAGCCAGCTAGACAGGCTGGGAGGGGCAGAGCAGGTAAGGTGCTGAGCAGGCTACATGTGCTTCCCCCCGCCCAATCCTCGCAGGGCTCCCGCCCTGGGGTCTCAGTCTGCTCCAGCGTGTGTGGGTCTCTGCATCTCTTGCTGACATCCCCAAATAGGTGGGCCAAGGCTGTTACAGCGTAGCCGCAGACCACTGGGCTCCTGGGAGAACCCAGAGGAGGCTGAGGAGGGAACAGCCTGTGTCCTCGTGGCACCTGACAGCTGAGCAGCAGGGGCTGCAGCAGCATCCATCCGCACATCCACCAGCTCCGGGCTCAGAGTCTTTCCATGGACCACAGGCACCTGTACCACTTTCTGTGACCAAAACTAAAACAAAACAAAATAAAAACCAGGAGGACAATGGAAGCAGTACTCAAGGTTACTGCAGACAGAAGGCCTGTTTCTAAATCTGAGCTCTTAACTCAGTGAGTCTGTGACCCCTCTGAGCCCCTCACCTATAGAACCAGGGCCATCAGGTGCACCATGGGAGCATTTGGAGAGCAGAGCACGTGCCCAGTGCGCATCCCTCTCTCCTCCTCCTCCTCTGTTCTTGGATAGAGAACAAATCATAAACACATCCACATCCCTACTCAACACCAAGAGGAAGACAGAGCTGGCCACCCAGACCAAGGTCCCTTTAGGTGATGCAGTTATGGGTGCTGTCCTCATGGGCCCTACTTTCTACTCATGGAATAAGAATTTTGATAAGCATCTCAGGTTGTTATTTTGTGTCAGTAAGTAATCCATAACGTGCCAGAGTGAGGAAGAAACTGACAAAGGGAAAAACTGTTCCAGTTGATGATTCCTCTGAATCCTTAGAACCTATATGCAGACGCATTAGAAAAGGATTGGAACAAGGTAATTTGAAAAAGGCTTTAGGAATGGAATATTTCCCAAGACTGTAAGATGGACAATAAAGTAAAAGATAAATCTGAAGAAGACACAGAAGAAAATCCTTCAGTTTGGCTGTGTCTTAAATGTGGCAGAAGTTCTCAGGAGCAGCGTGCCCTGAAGCACTGCATGATACTGAGATCTGAGTCTCACTGTCTGGTTCTTAGTTTGGACAACTGGAGTGTCTGGTGTCACGTGTGTGATACTGAAGTCCAGTATTGCAGCTCAAGCCGATTGGGCCAAGTGGTGGATTATATTAAAAAACAAGCCAGCGTTACAACTCCAAAACTAGAGAATGATAATGGGAACTTTGAACTTGAAAATTAAAAATTAGAAAAATAAAGTAAAAATGAGCAGGAGAGAGAAAAAAAGGAGAACGTAGCTAAAGAAAATCTTCCCATGAATTCTACTTCCCAAATTACATTGAAAGGACTCAGTAATTTGGGAAATACATGTTTCTTCAATGCAGTTATGCAGAATTTGTCACAACGCCAGTGCTTAGAGAACTACTAAAAGAAGTGAAAATGGGACCAGGGATTTAGCTCAGTGGTCCCACCGTCTCCCTCGCAAGCTCAAGGACCTGCCTTCGATCCCTGGTACCATAAAAAAAAAAAAAGTGAAAATGTCTGGAGCAATTATAAAAATCGAACCACCAGATTTGGCACTAACAGAACCCCTAGAAATAAACCTTGAGCCTCCTGGCCCTCTTACTTTAGCCATGAGCCAGTTTCTTAGTGAGATGCAAGACACCAAGAAGGGAATTGTGACGCCTAAAGAACTCTGCTCAGATCTGTAAAAAGGCAGTGCAGTGCCTTTTGGCTCTCTAAGCAGCACCATGGCAGTGGGCAAGAACAAGCGCCTTACAAAAGGCAGCAAAAAGGGAGCCAAGAAGAAAGTGGTTGACCCATTTTCTAAAAAAGACTGGTATGACGTGAAGGCACCGGCTATGTTCAACATAAGAAATATTGGAAAAACACTACTCACCAGAACTCAAGGAACCAAAATTGCATCTGATGGGCTCAAAGGTCATGTGTTTGAAGTGAGCCTTGCTGATCTGCAGAACGATGAAGTTGCCTTTAGAAAATTCAAGCTAATTATGGAAGACGTTCAGGGCGAAAACTGCCTGACTAACTTCCATGGTATGGATCTCACCCGTGACAAAATGTGTTCCATGGTCAAGAAATGGCAGACCATGATCGAAGCTCATGTTGACGTCAAGACTACCGATGGTTATTTGCTTCTTTTGTTTTGTGTTGGTTTTACTAAAAAATGGAACAATCAGATACGGAAGACCTCTTATGCTCAGCACCAACAGGTCCACCAAATCCGGAAGAAGATGATGGAAATCATGACCCGAGAGGTGCAGACAAATGACTTGAAGGAAGTGGTAAATAAGTTGATTCCAGACAGCACTGGGAAAGACATAGAAAAGGCTTGCCAGTCTATTTATCCTCTTCATGATGTCTTTGTCAGAAAAGTAAAAATGCTGAAGAAGCCCAAGTTTGAGTTGGGAAAACTCATGGAGCTTCATGGTGAAGGTAGTAGCTCTGGAAAAGCTACTGGAGATGAGACTGGAGCTAAAGTTGAACGAGCTGATGGATATATATCACCAGTCCAAGAGTCTGTTTAAAATCCGGATTTTTTTAATAGTGACAAATAAAATCCTATTTGTGATGGCTTGCTTCTAAAGAACATAGCTTTTAAGTCTAAAAAAAAAAAAAAAGGCAGTGCGGTTTAGAGGTTACCAGCAGCAAGACAGCCAGAAGCTACTTTGCTATTTATTGCATGGCATGAGGGCAGAAGAACACCAGAGTGAGTAAAGGAATTTTTAAAGAATTTAGTAATTCTACTGAAAAATTGAATGAAGAACTAAAAAATAAAGTTAAAGATTATTAAAAAAATCAGTACCAAATTTTCTGGATCACATCTTTGGTGGTGAATTAACTGGTACAATCATGTGTGATGAATACAGAACTGTCTCCTTGGTTCATGAATCTTTCCTTGATTTGTCTCTCCCAGTTTTAGATGATCAGAGTGTTAAGAAAAGTATAAATGATAAAAATGTGAAAAAGACAATGGAGGATGACAGTAAAGACAGCGAGGAAGAAAAGGATAATGATAGTTACATAAAAGAGAGAAAAGAGATTCTTTCAGGAATAAGCAAGTACTTACAGAAAAAAGCAAAGAAGCAAGCCAAGAACCAAAGAAGGCAACAAAAAATTCAAGGAAAAGTTCTCCATTTAAATGATATTTATACTGTTGACTGTCCTGAAGATAATGAATGTGAGGGTGAAAGGTCACTTCAGGAAGAAGTGGATCTTAAATCCAACCATGTTTCACATGAGGAAGTTGCACATGAAGAATTTTGTGTTAATCAGAAAGCTCTGAATAGCCAAGAGAAAGCAGTAGAAAGCATAACTGACAATCAAAAATCCATAGAAGAAGTAGATATAATAACTGTCAATGTGGATAATGATCTGGAGGATTTGGCATCTTCTACTGAATGCACTAGGACTTCAGATGGTGCCCGTCTGGAGGAAGAGAGCAGTGGTGAAGCAGACATTTCCAATGATTTCAAACACCCTAACTTAAATGGTGCTCTTGGACCTGATGGAATAAACACAGAGATTTTGAATGACGGTCATATTCCTGTGGCAAAGGTGTACGAGGTTGTAAACGAAGATCCAGAAACTGCTTTTTATACTCTTGCAAACAGGGAAGCTTTCAGTACTGATGAGTGTTCGATCCAACACTGTTTATATCAGTTCGCCCATAATGAGAAACTTAGAGATGCAGATAAACTGCTTTGTGAAGTATGCACATGGAGACAGTGTAATGGGTCAAAGGTGAGAAGACGCATGTTTATACTGATGCCGAAAAGCAAATGCTAATTTCTCTTGCTCCTCCTGTCTCTCTCTTCATTTAAAAAGATCTCAGCAGGCTGGTTTTAGCCTACGCAAAGTTAACAAACACATACAGTTTCCAGAAATCTTAGAGTCGGCTCCTTTTCATACTCGCCAGTGCAGGAATGTTGCTGAAGACAATCCAAGAGCACTATATTCCTGATATGGAGTTGCTGAACCCAGTGGTACTGAGGTCGGGCACTACACTGCCTATGCCAAGGCAAGACCTGCAAATAATCGTCTCTCTAATCTTGGTCTTCATGGTGATATTCCACAAGATTTTGAAGTGGAATCAACCAAAGGGCAATGGCTTCACATCAGCGATACACTTCTTAGAGTTTCAGTTCTCATTTGGGGAATAGGTTATCACAAGCAAATGGAGACTTCCACAAAATAGTATCTAATTCTGCCTATTTGGAGAACAGTGTGGAAAGACTGAAGCTCAGAAAAATAAAATGACTAGGACAAAGTCGTGCCCAATTAGAGCCATATCCCATACCTGAACCCAGTGTATTGGTCAGCTACTGCTGCATAATAAACATCCCTAAACCACAGCAATGTAAACCGTTCACATTCCCTTCTCATGCACCCACTGGGAATTTGCTAGGACGCTCTGGCCAAGGAGGCTGGGTCAAGGCAACGCAGCCCCTGGAGCTCGCTGCCAAAGTGCATGACAGGCTTTCTTACACCACCTGCCAACGAGAGCCCACCATGTGGCCAAGCAGCACTATGGGGTGGAGAGGACACCTCGAGGGAGAGCACAGACACCTGCAGGACAGATGTCACACAGGAGGGCAGCACAGCCCCAAGGAGAACAACAAAGAGAAGCCGCGCCCTCTGCTCCTGCGGCTCAGGAACAAAATGCAGAAGGAGTATTCTGAGCCTGCAGCCACTGAGCCAGCAACAGAGCTGGCACTGGGCCACACCCCATCCCCATGAGCTCGTCGGCCCCTTGTTCCCTGTGAGGCCTGGGAGCACTCACCAGCTGGATGGTGACACGGGGGACAGCGGCCTGCCCATTTGACTGCAAGTGGCAGGTACCCAAGGCCATGTGGAAGCCAGGCCCTGGGAAGTCAGAAAAATTTAGAAAACATCAGAACAGCTTTCATGGATCACAGAGCAGGTGTCCCTTGAATTCCACTCCTGGCTGGTGTACTTTACTGAGTTCTCACCACAGTCATAAAGGGCTCAGCTCCCCAGCTTCACCTCAGGAAATGCAGGCTCTGAGCCCGGAGAGCATCTCTCCCCGTCCAGCTGCAGTTTGGAAGAGGAGGGTTTGAAACCCGCATCTGTCTGTCTCCACCAGAAGACAGAGCCTGCAGATCAGGAATGAGCCTCAGATGCAGTGTGATCAAATATACGGTGAATGTTCAAATGCTTACAGAAATTTATTACAGGGAAAGACATTGCCACAAAGCCCCTCAGAATCCCCCCTCGCTTTGAACACACTCGTCCCAGCCTTCTTGCCACTTTCTGAAGCAGCTCTGGAGTCCTCTTTCGTGAGTGTCTTAGTTGTGCCATCCTGTCTGCCTCAATTCAAAACTTTGAATTTTTTAGGTCATTTGACCAGAATTTGCATGCTGCCAGGCAGATGAGGACGCAGTGTAATATTTCTAGGAGCTTCCTTTTCTGTTGGATGGCACTCAGCAGCAGCATTCACCTGGTTTTTGACCACTCCTTGTAAAGACACTCAGGAAAGAGGACTCCAGACCTGCTTCAGACAGTGGCAAGAGTGACGGTATAAGTATGTTCCTAGTGAAGGGGAGAATTTTAAGGGGGACTCGTGGCAATGTGTCTTTTACTGTAATAATTTTTTTATTTAATTAAACACCATATTTTTATTAGTACATGTTTGCCGTACATAATGCTCACAGTCATCACAGGGAGTTTGTACACAATATATCTTAATTCTCTTGTTTCTCATTTCCCTCCCCTCCCTTCCACCTTCCCCTCCTGACCCTGTTTTCCATCGGTTCTTATGTCTTCCTACTCCGGTGCCTGCCGAGCCTTCGTTCCCCCTCAAGTCCCAGCCCAGCCCAGGGCTCCCAGCCTTCAGTGCCACCCTCCCCCAGCTGCTCCCTGCCCAGGCCCAGTGCCACCCACCCCTCCATGTGCTCTCAGGAGGACATGCCCTGTCCCCTTGCTTCCTCCACTCTCTCCGACAGCCCAGATTCCACTTAACACCCCTAGAAATCCGCCTTATAAACAGGAGAGTTCTAGAAGTCCCCCCAACATAATAAAGCTTAGCAATCACCCAATCTCCCCTTTTATTTTATAGATGGAGTTACTGTGAAGCTTCCTAAAAGCTCCACCCTCACTGACTCTGACCTCCACATCCCTGCATTTGATTGGAATTTGTTGTTGGTACCACACACATCCATGTCTTATGGTTTCTCTAATTGTTCTTCTGTATCTTGTCTTTCACTGACAGCACACCATCAGACTTTCATGCTGCAGGAGGACGGACGACACAGGTATTCACTAGGCAGAGTGCCCGGGTTTCCCGCAGGGGCACTGAGCCAAAACTGAGTCAGGACTTGCATGAAACCCCACTGTCTTAGCTACTTTTCTCATTGCTGAGACAAAATTCCTGACATCCAAAGTTAAAGGAGGAAAGGTTTACTTTGGCTCACAGCTTGTAGAGGTTTCTATTCACAGTTAGCTGGCTCCAAGGCTGAGTGGCATAGCAGAGGAGAAACAGCCCATGGTGGGCAGAAGGCAGGAAGGCAGCAAAGTAGTGAAGCAGCAAGTGGCAAGTGACAGCAGCAGCCCTCTTTCCATCCCTTATATCCTATCCAGGCTACACACCCTTAGAGCACAGAGCTCACACACCCTAGATCCAACCATCTCTGAAACACCCCACTGTGACTGCTGAGGCTTTGGGGGGACAGCTAGACACAGCCAGAACACCCACCGTAACACTAGTGCTAGGGGAGCCACACCCTGGGTCTTAAAACCAGCCCTCTTCCCATCACCAAAAATGGGCCTGCTTCTTGGAAATTATAACAGGATGACCTGGATAGAGAAACTGTCTAGGAGTCACCAAGGCAGCTCAGAAACAGACAGCCAGGCAGCCACAGCAGAGGAGAATACAGGTGCAGAATGAACAGCAAAGGTAACAACAGCAGCGAATGTTCTCAGAACCCTCGACACTCCATGTGTGTTAGCTACATTCATCCTCACAGCAGCCTGGGAGGGAGATACTACGACTCCATGCTGAGCACCTCTGATCCAGAAATCCAGGCCCACGTGGGGTACTGACATGATGCTCAAACATTCTGGATTTTGGAGCATTTGGGATTTGGGATTTTTTGGATAAGGGAGGCTCCACCTATACCACTGTTTTACATTTGAAAAAAACCAAGACCCACAGAGTAAAAGGCTTTGCCACAAATCCCACACCGGCAAGCCTCAGACCCAGGAGTCAAGCCCAGCCTGCCCTGCTGCAGAGCGGTTACAGCCCCAGCCCAGGTTGATGCCTCTCAGCTGTCGGCTCCTGGAGAGCAGTCTCACAGTCTGCCCTCTGTGTCAGGGCGAAACATTCTCGGCCTTGCAGCCAGCTGAACTGGAAACCTGCTGTCCTCTGCCAGCCCTCGCAGTGCACTGGGTGTGTCCAGGCCTCTCTCTTCCCTCAGATGGCCTGGAGGCAGCGGTGCCCACACTCAGGTGACATTTGCAGAGTACTTGCACATGCCTGCCACCCAGATGGGGTCACAGCAGGAGCTGTCATCCCCACAGTGGCAGGGGAAGCAAGACTGGCCAGACGCATGCGCAGACGAGGTCAAGTGAGAGACTGTGGCACCCGGAGCATGTCTTCGGGACCTGGGGAGAGGTGGGACTGCACCAGGTCCTGGTCAGGGGCTCAGACCCCACCTGCTCACACACTGGGACCCCATCCCTGAGATTCAGGCTGGCTCTGTCCAGATGCACCCTGTGACCTCAGGCTGGCCTCGCTAGGCCCCGCTTCCTCACCCATAGAATACAGCATTGAACTAAATGATCTTGGGGCTCCTTCCAACTTTAAATAATAATCAGCTCAACAGCGGTGGGAAACAAAATGCCTTTCGGCCCATCTGGTTCCTTGCTAGGGACTGACAAGAAGCTTTATGGGTGCGGGGCTGGGAAAAGCTCTGAACTGAAATGATGGCTGCAGGCAGCTTCTGTTTATGTGGCGGTAACTCCCAGTTACACAGCCATCACCAGTCCCAGCCCCATGTCTTCTGCGCCAAGCCCCGGGGACGTGACCGTCCTCGTTCTGGTGCCGAGGGGCCACCAGGAATTTGCTGGGCTGCAGGTCAGCACTGGCCGACCATGCGTTTAAGGGAAAGAGCTTGTTTTTCCCAGAACAGGACGTCACAAAGGAGGGGGTCAAGGAGCGATGCTGGCGGATGCAGGTCCCTGCTCTCTTGTGCTTTCTCTTTCTACCTAAGATGACCAGCACCACACCCCCAGCCGCTGCAGGATGTGGGGTCTAGGGGCACTGGGGACCTGGGCCTCCATTCCCAGGACCCCCGCCTCCTCCCACACCTCACCCACCAGGGCTGCACCCCCAGCTGGCCCCGCAAGGCCCTCTGGGAACCCTCCCCCTGCAGCGCTGCCCACCCAGCAGCCTTACCGTGGACGTCTGCCTTCTCTCAGTCCTGGACGCTGAGGCCCCCAACACTGCACCAGCCTGGGCTGGGACAGGAAGCTCTGCTCCAGGCCTCGTTCTCTGGACACCATCATCCTCTCTGGTGCCTCTTCACCTCCTCCCTCCCTGCGGCCACTTCCTCTAAAGTGCCCCGTGTGAGGTCACCATCCTTGAGGATTGGAGTAGGTCCCCCAGGACTTCACCTTAACTTGGTTACCTCTGTAAAAAGCCACTTCTGAGGTACGTCAGCTCTTGAATTTGTAGAGACACAGGCAGGAGCAGATTGCCAGACGCCTACTGCCTGGCGTCAGTAACTAAGGGGTTTGCCCAGCTACTAAGTTCCAGTCTTCCCCAGAGGTTTAGGGCCCTTCCTGCTGAGACTCTGCTCTGGTGTGGCTCCGTGGATGGGAGACCGTTTTGCAGAATGGCTGAGAGCCCAAACTCCAGCTTCCGATGCCCGGAGTTAAAATCGACACGCACTGTGTGACCTTCAGCATTGCTGAACCTCGGCTGCAGCACTGAGCCACTCATCGGGATTTAACAAATCCAAACTGAGTCCCTTCTGCCTCTCCACACTGTTCTCGGGGCTGACTGTGACCAATGAAAGTGCTCATGGAGCAGCATTTCCTGACAGTGTGTGAGGTGACCGTGTAAGGGAAGTGTTGTCACACTGTCCTAGTGACTCTCACCAGCCGCTCCTCCTCTCTCCTCTTCCTGGGCTCCTGGGTCACCAAACATGTGACCAGGACAGTGGACACAGACCAGCACAGACACTGCTACCCTCAGGCACAGAGCCACACGCTATCGTCCCATTGTGAGATGTGTCTGCCGGCCCAGAAGCAGCGAGGACACAACCGCCTTCCCTTGCCTAGCCGGGCAGAAATGACAGAGGGGCCACAGCCCAGGGTCTGAGCCACAGGAGCCACAGAGCTCTCGCTGTGGGTCTGGAGGGCAGAGGTAGTGTGGCCGGAGCGAGGGGGACTCAGAGCGCTCTGAGAAGCCAGGAATGGGACATGAATGAGCGACACCAAAACCCTGGATCCAGGAGAGAACAGCTCCACAGGGAGCCACGGACAGACCAAGGGAGGAGGAAGCATCAAGCATCACCCTGGGCAGCGGGACTTTCCACACCTGACAGGAAAGGGTCCAGGAGAGCTGTGCAAAGGCACAGATCAAACCCAAACACTGAGCCACGCAGCCTCTGCTGTACTGTCTCTGCAGGGGGCAGCCTCTTTGAGCTGCTGCCCTTGTTTAGGACAAAGGTGCTCATGTCCAACACGCACAATGTGTGGAAAGTAATGAAGGCACATGCTCCATAAAGAGCAATCCACCATTATTGATTGTGCATCTGTCTTTTTTATTCCTGTGCTGCCAAGGCCGCAATTATCAAGTATAATTTTGTGCCAAAGGAAAGGCTGGATAATTGT